ATGCGCTTCATTTTATTTTTGCTAAAATTTCTACAAACTTTTAGAAACGTTTTTTGAAAAATAAAAAACGAGAAATAGAAAAAATTACCAAAATTTATGTCGTTAAAAAACTTGAAAGAAATCAGTCACCAAACATAGCATATATTCGCGTTTAAAAAAATAATATAAATATTGAATCAGTGACATTAAATTAAACCTGATAAACTTTAGACATTACACGTGTAGTACTATAAAGAGATGAAAAAAGTTGAAACACAATAAGAGCAAAAGTCATCGAAGATTTCTTGTGATAAGTCCAAAACCAATAACAACCAGCAATCCATTTTTCTTGTTACTAAAAATTAAAAAAAAAAATCCATTTTTCTTACGTAAAACAAAACATTTTCATATATATATATATATATATATATATATATATGAAAATGAAATCTAAGTCGTTTAATTTGGAAGCTCCTTGTTTGGCTGCATTGATTTCGGGTGGCTTACTCGGTGTTAGGTGTTGTGTGGATAACGATAGCCACATCCATTATTTGTTTGACAAACAACATTTTGGTGTGCCCCAAAAAAAAAAAAAAAGCCTTCAACCATTCAATACTAAATTACACCTCCTTAGTTATCTCAAGGATATGGTTGCATTTATAGAGCAAAGCTGTTGTAGTTGAGTTGTTGCGATAATTACGGGTTGAATGAGTCTTGTACAGATTGGACTGATGTCTCACTTTTTCTACGTAAACGAGAAGATGATCGAAAAATATGACGCTTCTTTTTTGTTTGTATTTGATGTTCGATAAATTTTTGTAAATGGTCTTTTGTTATTATTCTAACCGCCAATTGTTTAACAAAACCATAATATGGATATGGGTATGTGTTGAAATCATATAGAGTTGCTGTGTCAGATATTTGGTGGAATGAAATATTCCTATCGCCATAAGTAATACAATAGAAATCTTTTTTTTCTAACGATAATTAAGTCATATTTGTCCATCTTAATTTGTCAAAGTTCACATGATCACGTTAAGAAATTGAAAATAAGATATTTATTATGAGAATTAAAAAGTTAGATATTGACGGAGTATGATTATATTATTATATTGATTTAGAATATTTGCAATTATTATTATTGGATATTTTTAATTTGAAAACATAGGGAGAAAATAGAAGCAGCCGCGTAGTTGGTTGGGTGAGGAGAGCACCCGTTTACTTGTTGTTGGATCATCGGCACACGAAACACGGGTCAACCCGCTTTCTAAATTCTTTAATTCTTAATTCCAATTTCCAATTTTTCTTTAACTTTAATTGGATTTTTAATTCAAAGAAATTAAGAGAAAATGATTTGATTTTGAAATCAGTGGGATGGGATACGGTGAACCCAAAGCCGGAAAATACACAGCACAATTCCACATTTCATTTCATTTATTTAGTATTCTTTCCTTTTGATAATAGATTTCATTAATTTAATTTAATATGTCAAAGCGAGACAACGACATATATTTTCAGGTTGTAAGTTTGATCCCTCATCCCACATGTTATACTTAAAAATAAATAAATAATTTAATGTGCGTTGGAGGGTAAAAACATACTTCCCGTGGAGAAGAAAGAAAGGCTATGATACAATTGTGGCTATCCATGAGACTCGACCAAAAGGTAAACTTGTGAACTCGGTAAACTCCGTTTGGTTGGAAGTATCACCTTGCTCTGAACTTGTGCATTGCAAGCCGATATTTAGTAACAAACTTTCCGACCAGTACAATCAACGGTAGCACCATTCTAACTTCATGGACGCAATATAAGTTCGGCTTGAGATCTAAGGTCAAACTAATACTAACTTGATTGTCAAATTATTTGCTTCTCTTGTGCATGTCTTCTTCACTGGATTCGCTCCCAAGTTCGTCCATACCCGACCTTTGCAGTTTCTGAGCTATATTGAAATCTACCATGTAAACAAACTTAGAATTTATATTTTAGTGAGTAGTTAAAATATTACCCAAGTCTGAAGATTATAGATTTAAATCTCCTATTAAAAAGCCTTCATATTTATATATATTTTTTACTTTTGAACTATATATATTCTTTTTGTTATATTTATAATTGGCTATCTTTTTTTAATGGTAGTATTATAAATCTAAAACCGTAATTTTAGTTTCCGAAGATTTCAAGCGTGGACGATAAAACAGAACGGGCCATGTCATATATATTGGGCCCCGAAATCCAAACAGCAAGCCCATTAGAGCCCAAGTTGGTTCTTAATCCATTAAAAGCCCAGTTCTAATTTCTAAGCTGAAACAAACAATTTCAATTAAAACTATTTACGGATAAATACGAGCATTTCTAAATATTTACAAAATCATGCCTAGCTTTTGCTATTTAAAAAATCTATACTGACGAAGAAAAAAGGAGTAAATGACCCACGTGTCTTATTAGCCAAATTTTGCAAATCATATTGCTAGTAAGGAGAATAGAAAATGAAAAAAAGAAGGGAAGAAAAAACAAAAACAAAAGAAACCTACTCAAATTTTGTAGATACGGAAATAGTTCAAATATTCAAAAGTTTGCAAATCCTTATAAATTAAATTGAGTACAACGCAGGAAAGAGAGTATAAAAGAGGAATAAAAACCAATGACGAAATAGATTTGCAAATATTTTTCTACTATTACACATACATACATATTGCATTTGATAAACTCCTGTGATTATTATTTTGTTTGATCATAAATAATATGCCCCTCTCCATTCTTTGCAAGAACAACATAGGGAACATACAACGTCAATTGTAATACGTTCGTATGAGATTAACGAATTGCATATGATTTATCTAGAGGCGTTAAAAGAGAGAAAATAGTGATCTCTATTAACTTTTGCACTTCCAAATACTATACTCTGTACTTCATCGACAATGGCTTCATATTTTGGATAAAGACTATTGCAAGTGATGATCCTCGGACAACCTCTCCAAAGGGAAGATTAGATGTTTTTGAGCCAATTCTTCATGCCACATGATCTATTTGGATAAGTCTAAATTAAAATTACAAAAAGAAAAAAGAAAAGGAAAAACGAAAAGAAAAGAAAAAAGCTCTACACGCAACGCGCCAAATACATGAGCGCGTGATGTGTAAGAACTCCCTGACAAGGCACTAGAAAAGTATCCCTAATTGTAGGAAATGGAAAAATATCTCAGAACTTCTGATTGGTCTACACAAATCTGTTTAAATGACAGACTAATCAGTACCTGCCACGTACCATGCATACGCAGGCCAATGCTGTGGTGAACCGTATGTTTATTACAGAACTTTGAGGAAGAATAAATAAATAAATAAATCAGTAGGTGGGGCCCACTCTGTCTTCTAGATTTTCGCCACATTTTTTGCTTTCTTAATTTCCACGTCACTGACACGCGACCGACGAATCTTATCCGGTTCCAAATGGAATGTGATAAGACGATTGTGCCCTCTACTTCGGTACGCCATTGTTTACGTACCCAAGCAACCCTTCTCCGTGCTCCTACCAAATTTCACCATAATTTTTGTTTGAAAAAAAAATGAAAAGAAAAAAAACTAGTACGATTATTTGTTCTGTGATGGAAAATAGCTTTTGTATTATCTATTTAAAATTAAGACGGCCGTCAAATATAACATAACTTTGACTTATATCTCAAATCAAAAAATTGTGAGTTCAACCTCATCTTACGTGTTGTATTCAAAAAAGAAAAAAAAAGGCGGTCGTAACATTGCAAATGTCTCTACAATCGTCCTTTCATTTTTCATAAAATATCTTGTTTGTAAATATATTTTTATAATATATATATATATATATTTTGATAGAATTGACATATAGTTTAGAAATAAAAAGTTAATTAAATTTGTAGTGATATATATACACTTTTTCACTTTTCTATTTAATAAATGTCAAAATATAGAAGTATTTGAAGCATAAGAAATGTTAATGCAAGGATTTGCACAATGTTATTCACCAACCTAGCTCGAACTCGGTCTCTGGTACGTCCTGAGCCGTGGAGTGAACCTGCACAAGAAGGCAAATTCTCCGACGATCAAGTCAGTATAGGTTGGACTCAATATTAAGTTCGAGGTGAGATTCGATACCTGAGTGTAAAATGATGCCCTCTATTTATAGGTGGTGTGTTCGACAGTACTCACGACCGGCAGTTACCTTTGTCTTTTTTTCATGTCGAACCTGTCAGGTTTGAGCAGATCGAACCCGTCCAGGTCGAACCACGACTTTTTACACTTAGCCTTGTTTACGGACAAATCTTGTCTCCTCGGCAGGTTCAAGGTGGACCTGGAATACTTCTTTTATTTCTAAGCACCATTGAGCGTCCTCCACATGTCCAGGATATTTTTATCCCAAATAAAAAATATGTTAATGATTCAGATATAAAAATCATAGTTCGAATTTTTACTTTTATTTTTGTAATGTAATATTTTAATAAAAAACATATGTGAATATGTTAGACATCGAGTTGCCAAGTAGAATGATTAGTGATAATATTGATAATAAATACTAAAATTATTTTTATCCAAAGATTAGAGATAACAAAGTATTTAAAAGTTATATGACATTTTGAAAATTAGAAAAGTAAAACAAACAAAATTACATAAAGCTGAAGGGCATAAAATATAATTTTAAAAATAAAAAATAAATAAAAATCCTCCATCAGCCGTCGCGGTTGGGAAATTCAGTTGGTTTCCGCAGCTTTCAATTTCTTTTCCGCAGATATTTTTGTGACCAAAACAGACAAGAAAAAGAAAAACAATTTGGGAAATTCAACATTACAGCCACACAAGCCACGTTGAACAGACAGGGCCACTCCCGTAATTTCACTCCACCTTCCTCCCTCAGCAGGCGAAGGACAATTCGGTCATTCAACTTTACCACTACAACAGACCGCGTTGAACAGGAAGGGGCATTGTCGTAATTTCATCCACCTTCGTCCCCCTCACAGCATCTATAAAACGGCCTTCTGTTCACCTTCTTCCACGTCTCCTGAATCTTTCAAATTCAAACACGCTATCTTTCATTCAGAAAATTCCGGTTCGATCGTTCATCGATTTGTAAGTAAGAGCTCTTTTTCATTTTCAATTTAGCTGGGACTGTAATCTATAACCTGTAAATTCGTGTAAAAATAGGTTTGATACTCTGTTCTTCCGATTTTTAAGAACTAACAGAGTCGCATATAGCACTCTAAACCCTAGATTTCCCTCCATTTTTAGCTGCTTATTATTAGTTAAATCTACGGAAGTTTTTTGTTTATAAGTTTTTTAGAAGCCTGAAACATGCATACTTGTAGCTGTTTGGGAATTTCTACCATGAAACCTTGTAGGATTCTTATTAGCTTCAAATCCTCTTCGATGTTTGGAGCTTCGCCGCCCAGGCCGAAGTATAGGAGAATTGATAAAATTTCGAAGTTACGGCCGAATTGTTCTAGAATTATAGGGTCTGTACAGGTTAATGATAATTCGAGTAGGAGAGGTTTTGGTTTTTCCAATGGTTATCGGTTGAGTAGAGGTAGTGGTGGTAAAAATAGGCATTTGATTGCAAATGTGGCGTCGGATTTTAGAAATCAGTCTACGTCGGCTGAAGCTCATGTCAATCAGAAGAGCTTTGAGACAATATATATTCAAGGAGGGTTTACAGTGAAGCCACTGGTGATTGAGAGTATTGAGACGAATCGTGGTTTAGAGAAAGAAGAAAAATCGGCATCGGAGGCTGAGGGGTTGGGTAGTTTAAAGGATTTTAATTATGCTAGGGTTGAGAGAGAGGCGTCTGAGATTGAAAAGGAGGCATGGAGCTTGCTTCGAGACTCTGTTGTGAACTATTGTGGACATCCTGTTGGAACTGTTGCTGCTAATGATCCTGCTGATACTCAGCCACTGAATTACGACCAGGTCTTTGTTCGTGATTTTGTCCCGTCGGCCTTGGCCTTCTTGTTGAATGGAGAAGACGAAATTGTCAAGAATTTTCTCCTGCACACCTTGCAATTACAGGTATATGCCTAAACATTAAGCTTTCCGTTCATCTAAAAGAGGGGACATCTTTTATATGTGTATCTGATCTATTACAAAATTTGATGTAAGATATTAGTGAATTTAGCTGATTGTAGAATGATAGGATCATTACCCACTGTATCTTGACGTATCAAATTTAGAAATACCATTTTTAAGGTCATAATGAAGTCATTCTCTTTATATTCATGAATACTACAGCTCACTTGTCCTTTGTACTGAAATCAACCGTCTTTGATGTTGGTTAGAGTTGGGAGAAGACTGTTGACTGTTACAGCCCCGGGCAAGGGCTGATGCCAGCAAGTTTCAAAGTTAGAAGCCAACCTCTTGATGGAAGTGATGGAGCTTTCGAGGAAGTTCTTGATCCCGATTTTGGTGAATCTGCCATTGGTCGTGTTGCACCGGTTGATTCTGGTAAAGAAACTTCTGTGTTTTCAGTTCTGAAATGGATTCACTTCAATTTTTTCTTCCACATAGAACATGAAATCTTAACCTGTTACTGTGTGTTTTTACTCACACAGGGCTGTGGTGGATTATTTTGTTAAGAGCTTATGGAAAGATCACAGGAGACTACACATTGCAGGAACGGGTCGATGTACAGACAGGCATAAGACTGATCCTTAATCTGTGCTTGACAAATGGGTTTGACATGTTTCCTACTCTGTTAGTTAGTGACGGTTCCTGCATGATCGATAGACGAATGGGCATTCATGGACACCCACTGGAAATTCAAGTAAGAATAAGTAGACCAATAATCAATTATCATTGTGGTTTTTTCAAATATTGAGCAGCAATTCTTAATAGCTATAGTAAACTGTTATCCTCTTAGTTTAGTTCGAGTTCATGTACGGGCAATCGCTTGACGTGGTTGACTTCGTTTTGCAGGCATTATTCTACTCAGCCCTACGCTGCTCCAGAGAGATGTTGATTGTCAACGACGCAACCAAGAATTTGGTGGCTGCCCTGAACAGTAGACTAAGTTCACTCTCCTTCCATATCCGGGAATACTACTGGATCGATATGAACAAAATCAACGAAATTTATCGTTACAAAACGGAGGAGTATTCTTCTGAAGCTGTCAATAAGTTCAATATATATCCTGAACAAATTCCTAGTTGGCTGGTGGATTGGATTCCTGAGGAAGGTGGCTACCTTATTGGCAATCTACAGCCTGCCCACATGGACTTCAGGTTTTTCACGCTCGGAAATCTTTGGTCCATCGTGTCATCTCTCGGGACCCCGAAACAGAACAAGGGCATTCTGAACTTGATTGAAGCCAAATGGGATGACCTTGTGGCTAACATGCCTCTTAAGATATGCTTCCCGGCTATGGAGTACGAGGAATGGCGCATCGTAACCGGCAGTGACCCTAAGAACACGTGAGGCTCTTTCGAGTTTTGAGGCAGTGAAAATTCGTTTGATTTGAAGCAAGTAAATAGGAAATTTTTGTAACCAAACGCTGATCTTTTCCTTCGTTTTTTCCCTTTTGGCAGTCCTTGGTCATATCATAATGGGGGATCTTGGCCAACACTGTTATGGCAGGTGAGGCACTTATTATTCAAACTTCATTTTTACCCCTCACCTCAAAACAGTTGATTTTCAACCATTTATTAATCTCACTGTAAATGTTTGTGGGCAATTTTACAGTTCACACTGGCCTGTATGAAGATGGGGAGGCCAGAGCTAGCAAGGAATGCCATTGCAGTGGCTGAGAAGAAGCTTTCGGCCGATCGTTGGCCCGAGTACTATGATATGCGCAGTGCGAGATTAATAGGGAAGCAATCACGGCTCTTCCAAACCTGGACGATCGCTGGTTTCTTGACATCAAAGTTGCTTCTCGAGAACCCAGAAAAGGCGTCTCTGTTGTATTGGGAGGAGGATTACGAGCTCCTTCAGAGCTGCGTCTGTGCGCTCGGCAAAGCCAACGGGAACAGGTGCTCTCGCCAGCGCCACCCTGCAAGACCAGACGATCACGACCATTGATTTAACAAGCATTTCTTGCTCTAACATATTGATTTTTTTTGGAGGAACTTCTTTTTTTTCCTCCTCTGATTCTATGTGTGTGTATAGAAAAGCATGCAATTTGGTAGGCTCAAGGTTTTTGAGGAGCCTCTAAAAAATATTCATTCAGAATTGGGAATTAAATGTATGATACTTGAATTGAATTACTTCATTTATATGTAATACTTTTACTTTACAGACTGTTTTGTAACGTTCTATTTTATTTATTTGGTTAAAGTTTGATCTTATTGCAAATGAGATATGGCTGGTAAATTTAAAGATGTTGAGATAAACAAAGATGTTTCTCCGGAAGTTTAAAAAAAAAAAAAAGTTCAATCATAACGTGGACATTTTTAATTTTGTGTTATCTAATGTTTTTTTTAGTTTTAAAAAAGGTACGAAATTAGAAGTTTAGTGTTTGATTAGATGTGAAATTCATTTTTTATCAAAGAAGTTTGTGAATATTTTAAAATGTCAAATAAGTAAAAAGACTCGTTAGGCGGAAAAAAATAATTATTAGATATCTTTAAAGATTAAAAGATAAAATTTAAAAACTTATTAAACCTAATTATAAAATTTTGGTATGACATTTATAATTTAATTTTACTTAAATATCAATTTAGGAGATTCGCTCTATACATTTTGACTGACAGTTTTAACATAATACAATAGATTAAGGCACCTATGTTGATTGACAGTTTTAACATGAGTTTGAATCTTCATCCTATACATTGTACTAAAAAAAGATACATCTTAATTAATACGGTGACATATAAAAAAATGTTTTGGATAAGTAATTTAAATAATTTACAAACGAAGTTATAAATGATTCATTTTTTCAAAGGTAATAATAATATATAAATATTATGCAATGAGTTTTTTTGATACAACATGTGAGAATAAGAATTGCGAACAAGTTCTTTAACCAACTATATGTAATGACTTTGCATAATGATATAATAATTATTTTTAATTTGTTAAAAGATTATAATAAATATATATTTTCATTTTCATTTAATCAATCTGTTAAAAATTTAAAAACAAAATATTTAAACAACAATCGCATCAAAAGAAAATAAATAAATAAATAAATAAATTTCAGAAACTAAATTCATAATCTAACGAAGAAATTATTTGCAGGCTAACGGGGAGGGACTTGACTTCACTACAAGATCCTCCGCTGCCGCTTCGACGAGGCTGTTTATAGAACAAAGCTTTGCCCTACTCGCCTCGGATCGATCACAAATAACTGGTAATTCTCTGTAATTATCTTCTCAAATGCAGCGTTTACAAACAATCCGTTTTTGGAGTTCAAATTCGTTTTTCTTCTCTGTTTCCTCAATTTGGGTTTATTAGTTGCAGAAGATCAGGTAGGCTTTTGGTCTTAATGCTCATCGTGTTGTTTTTCAATTGCCAGTGAAGATTTATGTGTAAATTTATTGTACCTTTCAGTTTCCTGGTATTGAAATTCAGATCAACATCGGCAGAAGCTATGGCTGGTTATTCCTCCGCTGCTTCTGAGAAGAAATCGACTGAGGCGGCCGACGATGTACCGATCTTCAATGCTGAAAATTTGCAAAACAACTTGAAGATTATATATTACAGGTTTTTCCATACTTCTACAAACTCTACATGCTCACTAATTTGAATGGGTTTTTCCTCCAAGTCGAACACAGCTGCTTGGCGTTTTTTTTTTTAGTGATGGGGTTTTTCTTTTTCCAAATCTTTCAAAAGGATTCGTTAGGTCCTTAATTAGCAGCTAATGTATCTGTAGATTTTAGCTTCTAAAGGACTGACGCGATTCAACTTTATCAGGAGTGCCTGCATTCAAATTGAGTTGCTACTAAATGGACCAAGATGATTATTAATAATTATTATGATTATTTTGATCTTTGTGTATCTAGATCGTTAAGTTCGTATCATCTTTTGCAGCCGGACGTTTTTGTCTATAATTGGTGGAGTAATTGCTGGAATTTTGGGATTCACAGGCCTGACTGGATTTATATTATATTTCCTAGTCATGGCAATTACTTCACTTGGACTTGCAGCTAAGGCTGGATTTTCTTTTCATTCATATTTTGAAAGCTGGAACCAGATTCTACTTGATGGCTTTCTGAGTGGGCTTATGGTATGCATCATCTGTTCTTATTTTTGAGACTGAAATAATTCAAAGAAATGAAAAGAAAAGGAAACAAAAGACTGAATAATTTTATTACTTGAAATTAACTTCTGTGGAATTTTATGTTACTAATAAATAATATGAATTTTCAGATATTATGCTTCTAGGGTTTCTAAGTTGCAGACTGTTCCATGTTAGTGGCATACATTTGTTCTAGATTGTGAACATGCAAAAATTAGTTACTACTGGTGTTTTAATTTCATCCACTTCACTCTCCTGCTCCTACTCCCTTCTGGGATATATTAGTTTTGAATCAATTGGAAGACGGGTCAATATTATTGTGCGGGTCCCACAAGAGACAATATATAGCATTTCAGCTTCATTCGACTAAAATCACGTGTAATTGATCTCATATCTGATAGTTTTATCTTGGTGTTAAGATTTCAGATTTGTATATTAGGTTATGTTAAATTTTAGCTATGTAACTATATAACCAGAAGATGTTAGACCTAGAATGTACTTTTTCACTGAAGGAAATATTCATGCCTTATCCCTGCAAGTCAAAAAAATATTTCCTGTTATAAGTTTGGTTGATTTGTGTTTTCAAAATGTCTATCCTAGTCTTTTGGAAATGACTAATACTAAAGTGATTAGGTTCACTTTATGATGGAAGTTGTCTAAATCTGTAGATAACCAATTATTTTACAGATACACCAAACAAAATAAAAGAATTGGGTTGAAGAGAAGGTGAATGTACTTCATTACCTCCTTGGGATCCCTTTAAGGGTGATTTCACATCCTCTTGGCTAGGCTTTCGTACATTCTTGATTTATGTTCAAATTTTCTCATTTCCTATTGAGGAAATTAAAGGAAAATTCAAATCAATGAGGGTTTTAAGGTTATTTTGAAATTCTTGGTTTCAGAATTTAAATCTCGAATCAAAAAATGGGATAACAATTTGAGTTCGTTTGATCATATGATAAGGGAAGGAAACTTAAAAAGGATGAACAAGTTGATTTCGGGAGGTGCTTAACTATGGGAATTGGGAATAATAAGGAGATTATTTCCTTTCTTTAGTCACTGTACACTTGCAACAGGATAGAGATGTTTAAAGCCTTGGGGTTTGATTGGTTTCCAATTCCTAGAGTGAAACTTGAATGGCATGAAAGACTGAGTTAGATGAAATTAGAAACGGAGTATCTGTCTTAATGGGAATTAGTCCCCTTTTCTTGGCTTTGCTCAAAGATTGTGGATTAATAAACAGTGATTTGATGAAGGTTTCCAGGGAATTACATGATAAGGGGTGGTTAGTGTTTGCTCTGAGCTGATGCTACTTATAACCTGTCAGTAGTCTCGACACCATCCTAGTCATTATAAAAGATCAGTATTGCTATGCTAGTTATGAGTGGTGACGAATTCTACCATTTCAAAGCTCAATAGCATTCCTACCTAGAAAAATCATGCTGAATTTTTAAAAGATAGAGAATTTGGACTTTTTTCATTGTTGCTGATGAATAATTAGAATACGTGCATGAAAAATGTAGGCCTTGTTTGAATAAAGTTTGTGATCCTGTGAACTGGGAATTTTTAGACATTGCTTTAAAGCCATAGGTTTTGGTACTAAGTGGAGAAGTTAGATTAGTGGGTGATTTACATCCTTTGACCTTTTCTTGCATTTTTGCATGTGAATGTAGAGATAAGGCAAAGGCTTCAGCAGGTCTTAGAGACAAGGGTTTAGGAGGTAAGGGGAGACTTTGGGTCAAGGGGTGCCTTCAAAAGGTGAATTTCTTCCTTCTTATATGGGAGACCTAAAGGGAAGATACGGACTACTAGAGACCCTTATTCTCTGTTATTTCTGACGGTGACAGATGTTTTTAGTTTACTTCTTTACATGGCTATGGATCGTAATCTAATTGAAGACTTCTGGTTTGGGTGGGACAACAAAATTTTCACTTGACTTATTTGGAACTTGCAGCTGATACTATTTTATTCTTCAGTTTGGAAGAAAAAAGCAAAATGGATAACCTCTTCAACGTTGCCAAACCTTGTGAGGTTATGTCATGCCTTAAGGTCAACTATGAGTCTATGAAAAAAGTAGTGTGGGTGTGAATATTCCTTGAACATGGCTAATGAGGTAGCTAGCAAATTTTATTGTGCTCCATCTCAATGACCTATGATTTATTTTGGTCTTCCTCTCGGAGTAATCCTCATTCTCTTGATTTTTCGATTCCTTTGGTGGACAGATTTTAAGGTAAACTAAATAAGTGGAGTTTTTGCCTTTCCAAAGGAGGGATGCTTAATAGTCAATTATGTACAACCGATGCTAACTAGTATTCCTCTCTAATCTTCTCTCTTTCTAAAATCCCCAAGAATATTGCTGGGAGATTGGGAGGTTTCAGTGATTTTCTTTGGGGTGGTTCAAGTTGCAACAAGTAGTTATTTTGTAATTTGGAGTAACTTTTGCTTGCCCAAAGATTTTGGAGGATTAGGCATTGGTACATTGGGTGAGAAGAAAAAAAAAGGCTTGTTGCTAAGTGCATTTAGAGATCTCCTAACATAAGTGGGAGCAATTTGCAAGATGTTTTTAGAAGTTAAATTTGATGTGGATTCCTTTGGTTGGTAAAACTAGAAGAAGCTTATGAAAATCAATAGCATCTTATAAATACTTGGTGTAAGAGATTTTTGTTCTTTCAAACCCGGAAATGGTAGGAGAAGAAAATTTTGGGAGGATGTTCTTATCGGAGACAAAATTTTCAAAGATCATTTTCCAAGATTCTTTAATCTCTCAAAACCCAAAATGAAGAGTGTAGAAAGCATATAGGATGGCATTCATGATAGCTGAAAGCTCTAATAACAGGGATGATGTTAGGTTTGGAGTTGTGACACTTCAAGGTCCTTTACTATTTCCTTTTGTTTCAAGCTTATTATTAATATTTCTATCAAAAAGGAATTGCCAAGCCGATTTGGAGCAAGTCTTTTTGAACTTTTCGTTCTCATAAGATCAATACTTGGATAGAGTAGAAAATAAAAATCTAAACTTGTATCTCTCACCTTCTTGGTATATTATTTGTCAAAAAGAGGAATAAGTGGATCACATTTTTTTTACTTATACCTTTGCAACGGCCCTTCTGGACAACATTCTTCAAGCAATGAATATTCATTGTGGTCCCCTCCTGCGCTGGGGGATTATCTGTGTAGAGCATCTTTGGTTGGGATTTTTCTTACAAGATAAAGGACCATGTGGAGGATTATGACTGGGTAGTTTTTGTTGGCCATTTGGTTCAAGGGAACAAAATGACTTTTGAGGATATATTTTTTACTTCTAAACCAGCTTTAGACACGATGATCTTTTGAACCTCTAGCTGGTGTACTCTCAGTCTCTGTAAGAACTGTAAAATTCTTCTTTTGATATCCAAGGTAACTGGTGAGAGTTCGTAGCTCCCTTGGCTAATTGGGAGGTTCCCTCGATCTTCCCTTTTTTTGTAACCCTTGGTTCTTTTTGAATATATGTGGAAAGGTTTGTCGTTTCAAGATATAAATAACTGGGGATATGCATAGCAGGTGTTGATATAAGGATGATGTGCAAGAGATTTTCTTTAAATTGTAAAGATGGCTTTAAGATTTATCTTCTTCAGCCTTTTTAAGGTTACCATCTTCTTTATTTCAGATAAGAAGGAAAATTTCTTTAAAACTCCCTCAATTTAGTCTACCTTTTTGAATAATTTAATTTTGAAATTAATTTGTCTGAGAATTTGATTGCTGGCATGAATGTAAAAAGATTAGTATAACTAGATTTTATTTTTTAGGTGTGTTATGGTGTATATTTTGGGGGTTTGGTCCTTTGAAACATCTTGATCTATGTTCACACAAGGGCCCTTGAAACATCTTAAAGCTAGCTTGAGATACAGTTAAAAAGTGGGCAATTTTTGGATGAAAATATGAGCTTAGAGAGGACATACAAAAAGGAGCTCAATAAAGAGAGTCAAACTAAAATAACGGGCTCCAATCAAGCAAGATCTAACGAGTAATTACAAAAAACTTTGGATATGGAAGCCCAAAGAGACGTGATATCTTACAAGATCCCAAACCACCTCTCAGGAACTCTCATCCCTCTGAAAGTCCTATTATTCCTCTAAATCTACCGCCCCACAAACACCAAACAGATAAATGGCCCGACCCCACAAAACAGCCCTTATCCCTAAACGGGGATGAAGAAGAGCAGCCTCCAACCTATCCAAACAACCTCCAGGGCGAGCCCAACGAACTCCAAAAGTCTGAAAAATGCAGTCCCAACCTGATTGTATTTCTTTAAAATTCCCTTAACAGTAACTTAAAGTGTTTACTAATTGTACGACATATGTCCATTAGAGTCTAGAGTCTTTGAGCCAAGATGACCAACCTGATGCTACATCTGAGAGTATATAATCATAGGATTCTTTTTTCACCCCGTTTTACCTGGGGATTTCTACTCTTCATCTATTGTATCAAAACCATATATGTGAAATTTCTGCATCAGATGATTCTGTTAGAGAGCATAATATTCTGTTCAACATAAAATCATTGTTTCAGCATACTAAAGATGCTTAAATAAAGAGAGAGTTTTTTCACTATGTTATTGTGTAATGATGACTCCTTATGTCATATGCAATAACCTCATGACACTGACCATCTGTTTCATTTTTGCAGTCGTTCGTGCTCTTCTGGACGTATCCTTTCCATAACTTTTAATGGTTTGTACATAATGTGTGATAAGTATACCAATAGTGTGTTTGGGACACTTTTTTAATATGATAAAATGTTTTTGACTAATTAAAAATGCTTTCAAAGTTTTCATTATATTTTACTACATATTAAAAAATGGGTTTAAATACTCTTTTGGTCCCTAGGCTCTCGTCTTTGGTGGGCCTATAAACTTTCAAAGCGTTCATTTGGTCCCTAGGCTCTCGCCTTTGGTGGGCTTATAAACTTTCAAAACGTTCATTTGGTCCCTATACTTTCAACTTTTGTTCATTTTAGTCCCTGTATTTACAAAATGTTCGTTTGGTGCATGTTCTTTTAAAAAACTGACCATTTTGGTCCCTTCATTTTTATTTTATCTCATTTATTTCAATCTAAACTTTAGCATGTCACTTCACTCACTAAATTTTTTGGAATGTAGCCATAAATTTGTATTAAAGAATTTTATTTGTGCATAAAATTTGTTTTAAAGTTTTGTAAATAGGGACCAAAATGGTCACTTTTTAAAAGTTTAGGAACTACAATAGATGTTTTGAAAATACAAGGACTAAAATGAATGAAAGTCGAAAGTAAAAGGACCAAAATAGATATTTTAAAAATATAGGGATTAAAATGAACTAAAGTCGAAATTACATGACCAAAATAGGATTTGTTTACTTTCCTCCAAATGCTTGCTTCTAAAATTTGTTTGTTGGTTGCATTTTTCTTGACATAAGAAAAGATTTGCCTACGATATTGTTCACATATTCTGAGTCTGGAATGCTGGCTGGAATTCGAATCCTTGAGTAGCTGCAGGTTTCGGTACAACTGAGCTCAAGATGGGGAATTAACAACGAAACGATAATTAGATTGAGTTATATATTTTGATCCATTTCCAACTCCTAATGATATTGTGGCAAGTTTATTTCTCATTACCATGTTTAGAAAGTGTTCAAGATCAGAGCAGGATTCTCTGTGCTGTATCAGTAAAGATAGGCATAGTTTTTATTTATTCCTTTTACCAGTTTGTGAGATTATTTGTTCAGCTAGAGTTGCACTTATCTTATATTCGTGGTCTTTTAAATGCGTTTTTTCCCCGGAAAGGCCTTATAAATGTTCACGAGAACTCGTATGGGATTGCTTGGTAAAATTGATTATCTAGGAGTCGATTTACCTGCTCTGTTATAAGCGTAGGTTTAAATCCTTTTCGATTCCAGAATTTTCATGTTTATACTATTTTGATCTTTCTCTTTTAGTTTCTGAACGATTGAGAAATTTGGTGTAGATATTTGACATGACTTTTTTTTTTTTTTTGGTTGAAATGGAAAATCTGATTTATTTATGAATCTCAGGAGTAAATTTCCAAGCGGTGGTTAAGTATTCAAAACTACATGGAGTGGTTGAAGCGTTAGGTTTCAGAATAGGACCCAGATTTTTGTTTAAATAATTAACAAAAAAATTAAAGACAAAAAAAGTTGATATGAAAGCAAAATATTTGAAAGTTTAATGGAAAAATAGAATTTTTGTTAATTCAAGGACTAAAATAGAATAAGTAAAGATGTTTAAGGACTGATTTAAAATTTTTGTTAAATGGTGAATATTAGGTATATTTTGTAGTTGAACTGTAAAAAGTTTTATCTTTATTGCCACGAGTTGCCATATTATGTCAAAATATAGTTTATCAGTCTAATCAACGTGACGGATCGAGACTTGATAAAACCAAATTAAAAAATAATTCAAAGTTTTAAAATATTAAGAATTGAATTAGACACAACTATCAAAGTTAAAAAATTAATTAGTAAGGCCAAAAAAAATTAATTTGTAAAGGTAAACGTACAAGTTTAGCCTCTAAATTTTCGAAATTGTCAAATAGACCTTTGAATAGTCTCTAATAAATTTGTGATTTTTTTTTCAGTACGAATTTGTGAATATTTTGATGGATCCTTAAACATTTTTAAAATTTACGAACTTATTAGATATAGAATTGAAATTTTATAATCTAATAGTCAAAATCTAACTTTATGAATAATAAATTTGTGAATTTTAAAAAATAATAAAAATGTTAAGAGTCTGTTGTACATAGAATTAAAAGTTTATACACTAATTAAATACAAAATTAAAAGTTAAGTCTATTCACGAATTCATGAGATTTTTTTTTAAATAATGTTTTTTAGAAAACAAATGACACAAATGAGGTAGGTTTGAAAATATTTTCAAAAGTAGGGTAGTGAAATCGTAGCCATTGAATGCAATTTCAGGTAAATCGCATTTAATGGCTGATATTTTAGGCGAAATAGCTGTTTGCAAGTCGCAATTTTGTGAAAGTCACGGTCATTGGCCGCGACTTCAAAGTTACATGGCTTTAAGGATGCCACGTGTTGGGATGGAAATTGCATGCATTTGCTACGGGTATATATATTATTTTGTCAATTGTTTTATTGATAAGAATTGTTTAGCAGTGGTCAGAATGATCATTATTAATCCTCCATTCACGGGTTTGATTCCCTACTTTGACTAACACCTAACCTATTTTTGTCAACGGTTTGAATGTATGACTTAATTTTGTAATTTTTTTATTTATACTACATTTATTTTGTTATTATTTTAAATCTACATTATTTTTATAATTTATTTTTTAAATTACATTATTCTTAAACTTTCTCTAAATTCATGCATTACATTTGCAAAAAATAAGTAACTAAATAAATAAAAAGCATGTACGGTGTGTTCCAACTTTAAATATGATATGATTGTGATTGAAAATTGAAAGGTGCGTGAAATGACCAAACCCAAAAAATGTCCCTTTCTTGAATTATACAATCATATCACCCTTTTTATTTAATTTTAGTTCTCATGCATTCTACTTATTTATAGACTTTTATTCAAAGGGTAAATTGCAATTTTAGTTCATAAATTTTCACAATTTACCAGTTGATTTTGATCCCGTAAAAATGTCTTTTGTCATTTTCTAAAATCACTGGTATATTAATGTCAAACATTACTATATTAAATTTAAGTTAAAATATTATTTTGTTCCGTGTATGCTTAGTTTTGGATCATTTTGATTTATGTACTTTCAATTTTAATTCATGTCATTGTATTTTCAAAAAGTTTGTTTTAGCTTTGGTATTTTTTTAAAATGGACAATTTAATTTAATTTTTAATTTTATTTATTCTATTACAATTTCAACACGACACTACGTTCAATATATTACTTTATATTAATTAGTTTCCGTTATGGATAGAATTAATGTTAAAATTTTGAAAATAGAGACTCAAATGATCATCTCGGAGAATCAAAATGACCTATTAAAATTAAAAAATAATAAATTCAAAGATGTAATTGAATATTTTTGTTCCAAATGCACTAATCATATTCTAGTAGTCATAATCAATTTTGATTTTGATTTTTGAATTTCCTCCACGTATTTACTAAAAAAAAAGAATTAATTTTGATTTTAGGTTAATTACTCTTACATAACTTCATCACCACGAACAATTAGAAGATAAATAATAATAATAATAATAATAAAATTTTGAAACTATAATCAAATCAAATCCAAACAATGACGTTTTAGAATTATTTTATTTATAAAACGAAAAGCTATCCGACTTCGTCGTTAAGACATCTCGAGGTCAATTTCTGCTCGACGGAGAGATGAGCCGGAGATGGTTCCCGCCAAGTTTCAGGTTGCCGGAATTCCGACTTTCGCTGCTGCCGGCATCTTTCAGTTGGCCGGAGTTCAATTTTTTTAACTTCGGCATCGACCGGAGCTCTCCGAGCATCAGGTGGTTTAATTTTTCGATAATCGATGATATGTGTTGGGCGCTAATCGCCGTCATCGAATCCCTTGTTCTGATTACAATGTTGTGCTGCTTCTTCTTGTGCTGCGGTTTTACTCTCTGATTCAGTCAATTAGCGAAAAGTATGTATTAATTCCTCTCGATTTGCTCGCTTAAATTTGGAAACCATAGAAATTAAGCTCTCATAGTTTGAATTTGAATAGTTTGGGATTAGTGTGGATAAATGTGTTCTTGTCAAATTATCTCATCGGGATCCGAAACTAGAAACCTGCTTTTTTGAATGATAAAAATCTACGTTCTGTAAGTGGATTATTGATCTGAAAGTTCTTTCTTCAAATGGCGTCATCATTGAATCGATAAGAACAGTGTTGAAAAATTTTGGCGATGGAAAGCGAAATCTCGGTAACTATGACCTTCTTCTTTAGTGCTCTTTTTGCTGGATCATAGTGTCTCCTTAATTCAGTATGGCGAGTATAGGTTCCTCCTTGATTAATTAGTTGGAACCAGTATGACTATCATCTTCTTCTTCGGCTTGCCTCCCTCCAAAAAACAATAATCCAAAATTCAAGTGTCCTACACTAAGAGGTGAAACTCAAAACTCTAGTGAAGCTGAATTGGTTAGAGTATGAGGAATCTTCGTTAACGGTTAGAGATTCGGATCTTCACCCGTCCCATATTGAACTCAACAAACAAAATACAAAAGATAAATAAGATCTGATAAAAAAAAATTTCCTCATAACTTCTAAGCAAGTACTCTTGAGATGAAAAGGAATTTTGTTATCTTGTAGCATGAGCATGTATCGTGTTGTGAGGCATTGGGAGGAAGTTTGAGAAGTTATTAGATTTAATTCCTCCTCGTAGGTATCGATTTCGAAGGATTTTTGTGTTATTATGTTAGATTGGGATCCTTTCTTATAGCTTGGTCTCCTTGTCTCGAGCTTGTTTTTGCGCCTTTTGTATATTCTTTTGTTTCATCTCAATGAACTTCAGCTTCTTATTAGAAAAAAGGTAAAAAGAACCTGTATTGTGTTGTTTTGCATCAAACTTGAACTATAATTCCTTGAAGGAAAATGAAAAGTTGTTATTGTTGCAGCTGTTTTGTCCTGTTTTCTAATGAATGTATTTGAGAATTAGCTCTATCTTCTCATAGAAAGCAACTCCACTCTTGCACTCACATAGATAAAATCTGTCAAGAATATTGCTCCTATATAACCACACTCAAACTCGTGCTACATATTTTTGTTTAAGTGTCTCTTTTTCTTTGAAAAACCCAACTTTTTTGTGTTTCATCCATTTCTACTGAACCCATTCCTCAAGATTTTTGGGCCCTTTAGTAATCTTGATTTGTGGTTCATAGTGATGATATTGACTTCAACCTTATCTCTCCCACGTGTTCCAACTCCTTTCCCTAGTCAAGATATTTGTTAATGAATCTACAACATCACAAAATGATTTCAAATAATTCATAGTAATAATTTCAAAACATCACAAAATGATTTCAAATAATTCATAGTAATAATTTCAAATCCCACCGTATTCAATGTACGAATGAAACCGTATCTCATACATATGTAGGTACGGACATATATACATACACATACGTACATATATACACACATATAAAGCCAGACCAAGCTTAGAAGTAGAGTTGATAAAATAGCATTCCCTTGAAGTAGATATATGACTTGTGGTGTCTAGTAGATGAAGAATTAAAGTCCAACAGTAGCATAATTTTTTGTTCCCAGCATGATGAACTGACTTACTAGCAAACAATTGTGTGTTCTTGTATAATCAGTAGTATATTGTAAACTAATAAGTGTAACTTATGCTGTGAAAACTGCACTTAAAAGTAGCTGAAAGCTTCTGTTCCATAAATGAAATTTGACTTGTTTTTAGAGAAGTTTGAGATGATTCTTAACTTTATTAAATGCAACTCCACTTCATTGAATGGAATTTTTGGTTTAGGTTGAGTTTTTATGGGATGAAAATAGAGTTCATTTAATGCAGATCATTTTGAAGTCCTATTGGTCAAATATTAAAAAGAGAAGTTTCAATCCCTCTCTTGTTTATGTCTAATTGGCTTGTTGAAGCTTCTTAGCTCTAGACCGTGTTATCGAACATTGTGACATGATAGTGGAGGTTCTTGATTCATATCACTTAGATTTATTCAGGAATAATTTTTTTTCCTCTGATTTAATTTTGGGATGGGGATGGAGATGGGGATATATTACCTCCCTCAACCCCTCCCCCATCCCAAATTTTTAGTTACTTTATTTCTTTTATAAAAAAAATTATATTTTAGAACTTTTGTTTCATCTATAAATAAAAATGATTTTAAGTATTGGTATAAAGTTAATAATTAAGAATATTAAATAATTCAAAAAAAAAATTCCCATAAATTTTATTGTAAAATATAAGTTAAAATTTTATTTTAGTCATTGTATTTTTAGTCTTGGTTCATTTTGGTCTTTGTACTGTCAGAATGTTCATTTTGGTCGATGTATTCTCAGAATGTTCATTTGGTCTATGTACTTTTAACTTTTGTATACTTTAGTTTTTGTACTTCTAAAATGTCCATTTTAGTCTCCGTACTTTTAAAAATAATCATTTTAATCCCTATTTGTAAACTTTTAATACAAATTTTATATATTACGAAAGTCCTTTAATATAAAGTAATTTGTTATATTATTACTTTTAAAAAATATGTTGAGTCTAGTGTCAGGTTGAAACTGTGATAGAAAAAATGAGATTAAAAATAAAATTAAGGGACCAAAATTGAAATTTTTTAAAAGTACAGGGACCAAAATGAACATTTTGTAAGTATAAGGACTAAAACGAACTAAAGTTGAAAGTAGAAAAACCAAAATAAATATTTTGAAAGTATAGGAAGTAAAATGAACCAAACCGTACCTGGACCGAAGTAATATTTTAATCTAGAATATATTTTTGGTCATCGAGGATAATGTTTATTTGGTCTTTGAAGTGAGTCACTTTAGTTTTTGAAGTTTGGAAGATGGGTTTAAATGATTCATGAACTCGTTAGCCCTTAGTTGATTAATGAAAAGATTATATAGCACGGGTTGTAATTTGCTAACGCGGTAAGGTACACTAGTATGATATTATTTTTGGTGACTAAGATTACGAGGTAGCAATCCTTCCTCTTCACTGAATCCAAATGAAGGCTTTCATTTATTCTCTTGAAGAAGTTCAAGCGACGGGATTGGAACTTTCAAATGAGTTCCCTCCACCTTGTTTCGACATTGGAATGAAGGAGTCGTGGAGGTGGACTTTTGAATCTTGAATGTCTTCCTTCGGAGGACGACGACAACGACATTAGCGACCTGTAAGGCTGACGACGAGGTTCACTAGCGAGAGGAAGAGGAAGAAAGGAAAGAGAAGGAGAGATGATTGCCATCTCATGATCTAGTCACGAAAAATAATATTAAATTAATGAAACTACCAAGTGAAGTGTCTCATCGTTATGTTATTCAACTAATGATTAAATGAGTTCAATGATCATTTTGACCAAATTTTCAACGACTAAAGTCTCTTTTAAAACCTTAGGGATCAAAATAGCCACCTATTGCAAACATTGGAGACCAAAAAAATATTTCATTATGATGTCCAAGTGTCCTAAAAATGTTTTTTTTTTCTCCATTGTCTTTTGTAATGTTTTTAATCTTTTACGTTTCTACATGTCCAAGAGTTTGACATTAATACGAAGAGTTAATCGATATTTCTTAATAAAAGTTCGTAAATTATCCATTAACATTGGTATTAACATCAGAATCTTGACATTTTTGTTAACATCAACATTATAAACCTTGGCATTTTGGCTCTGGGCACCTAAGAAATTTTGAAAATGAGCTGCACTTGAATTTTTAATTGATCCCGAAAGTTATTTATGAAATTAGACCTTATAATTATTTGAATTTTAAAGTTGATTGATTATAATAATTATTTGAGACATCAAAGGAAACAAAATCACATATATGAGAGATGAAAGCTATTTCGAGCCTAGCCGAATAAAACACATATTACCTTCTCCATGATCAATGATTTGCCCCACTCCAAAATTGTGGAACTCAAAAAGGAAAAAAAGAAAGGAAAAGAAGATTAAGAGGATGATAGAGTACCCAAAAAAGATGATGAGAGTGTAATGATGATTAAGGGCCCGTTTAGTTGGAAGCTCGGATTCTGTTTTTTGTTTTCAGATTCACTAAATCACATGGATTCAGCCAATAGGTGTTTGGTAGAATTTTTTAGAGTTGTTTTTGAAAATTGTTTTCGAATTCTATAATCCAAACCATAGAAATTCTGAAAACGACTTTTTTATGTTTTCAAATTCAGAATTTGAAATTTTTAAGATGCAGAATTACATTGAAAAGATAAAAACTTTGATAAAATATATTACTTCATATTATAAACTCATTTTATGTGTGAAATATAATGTATTCTAAATTTAACTTTGTAAAATAATAATTATACAAAATTTGAAAAAAAAAATGTTAATAAATTAATTAATATAAGTTTAGATTAAACTAAAATTTAGTTTGTAACTACTGATTTACAAATATATTGCTAAACAAACCTTGAACAATTTTTGAACCAAACGTACCCTAAGGGTGGGTGGGAGTGGGAAAAATTTCCCCGGTGACTTAGGAATGGGGAATATGTTCTCCGTCCCCCTCTTTTATTTATGAATTATATATGTACCTTAAACTTAAATATTTAGATATAAAATTTATTATATATTATCAATTTAGGAGATATTGGTGTGATGTTTACGTTTTAATAATTTGAATTGTGAAATTTAATTTTTAAGATTTATTTTTGAATGAATTATAAAACATTCTTAGAAAACTTCAGAACTTTCCCTTAATTCCTGGAAAAATTTAACTATTTAAATGAAAATCCTTATAAAAAAAATCAAAAAAAGAAAAAACTTAGTATAACATTTAGTTGAAAATTTCTTTAAAAAATAACAATAAATGGTTGAACTAAAAGATAATAAGAAATGAACAATTTTTCGTGGGTAACTCGAGCTTCACAAAATTTTGTGGTGAATTTTACCAAGAATAAGAAATGAAATGGGCGACAAGGACGAGAATGATAGAACACTCCTAATAATGATACAGAAACAATGAGCACGAATTTAATATTTTCTCTGTTTCATTCCACAAAATATGCTCCATTTTTTTCAGGTTACACATTCCTTTATTTATAAGCAGAGGAGACGAGTTCAGAACTGAATACTCACTTGGTTATGTTACGAGAAGTCATAACCCGATGCAAACCGAATCGAATGCACTAGTAAATCACATAGTCCGGAACATAATTTTAAGACTAAAAGTTCCATAGTTTTTTCCATCCAATCGAGAAATAATATTTATTTCTTCCTGGGGTTGTGGATGTAGCACCACGAAATAAAAAAGCCCCCAAGAAATTTGAACTAAAATTGGAAGATGGCAGCTCCGCTCGAAGGCTTGGAAGCAAAGACGTAGAGACCGAGATCGTTCTTGTCGATGATCCCTCTGTCGATCCTCGATTTGTAGAAGCTCTCCTGGTGTGAATCCATAAAATGGGCAGAATTTTTAAACTCAGATTCCAACTTCCAAGAAGGAAGAAGACATTGTCTCACTTTCCAGTGTAAGAAAACTAACCTTCAGATTAAGAATGAATTGTGGAACAATGGCCTCTTTTACCAGAGCAACCGCGCAACCTCCCCATCCTGCTCCAGTTAGTCTGGCCCCGAGAGCTCCGTTGTCCCGGCATATCTTTACTAGTTCCTCCAACTCGGGGCAACTGGAAGAAACAAACAAGATGGGGAACAATGTAACACCAGAGGGTATGATAGAATTCAATATAATAATCGACGCAATGCAAACTAAACAATCAATGATGTCAACAAGGCAGAGGGTGCAGGTCGTCAGGATGGAAATTACGAAGAAAGATACAATTGAGGGAGTTATGGAAGAAAAAAAAGACCAGAACAATTTGTGCTCTTGTCGATAAAGAAAGATTTTCCAATTTGTATCAGATGATGACTGTGCATGCTGAATGGAAACTTTTCAAGTTAATTGCTCAAACATACAAGATTTGAGAACACTGGTAAATTGGTAAATGAGATTCTACCTGCATTCATAAAGAACGCTGCAGCTGTAGTGGCTATCATTCATAAGATCACCCAACTTCTTGAGCTTGTCTTCCTCACTGCCAAAAGAAAATTACCCCCACATTAAATGGGGAAAAAAGAACTTTGGTTCTTTTCTGGATGAACAAGTACGACGTAATCTATGATTGAAATTTTTGTAAATTCGATTGACGAAATACAAGATTAGAAATCTAAAATCCATCACCCATGTTACCTTGACCTAAAAGAATTACCAAATGAAAATAATGTAAAAGCAATGTGAACATGAAGAGGAGGCCATTAGGTAATTCGTCAAACCATCACCTTAAACTAGATGAAACTGCATCCTTGAAAGCGTAGACCCGCTTGGCTTCAGAGTACACGTGGGATGCTCGCTGAAAACAACCACCATTTTGTTACACAGAGAGATTTTAAAATTTGAAAGTACTCGCTAGATATCATTCTTCCTGTTTATAACCTACCCTAGCTTGAAACGGAAGGAATTTTAATTAATAATAACTGAAAGTAGATTTGGGGTCAGGAATGTTAGAGGAACGTGTAAGTAGAGAAGGCTGAAGGGAAATGGAACATGGCAACAGTTCCAAACATGATGTACCTGATATAACTTGAAGTGCTTGGCAGCTTTTAGAACATCCAATGAAGTTGGAGAATTGCCTAAAACCGATGGCAGATTTTCCACAGTGATTTGTTCAATTTCTTCAGCTGTATAGGGGTCCTCCTTCAACAGTTCCTTTAGAAGAGACGGAGCAATTAGAACATGTCGATAAAGGTATGAAAGAATGTTTATACTAATGGGCTATTTATTTCAAGTTCTTCCCCAGGAATAGGCATGAATACCTCATTCCCATGCTGGATGCCACTTTGGCATGAGGTTGAGATGCCTATGGGCAGCCACAGAACCCCAAATTGCGAGGTTTTGTTTGTGAAATCATAACCCATGGTTATCACATATGACTAGAACATCCATAATAATATTACATAATCATAAAATAAACCAACTAACATATTACTTGTTTGTGATTGATTAGTTAATGATTTGTTTATCAATATACTACTTAATCTCGTCCTCAAAGTAGATCTCAGAAAAGGCTAATGCAAACTGGAATGAAATAATCTTATAGATGCAATAATGTAGAAAGAAGGCCTAGTCAGATGGGGAAATTGGATTTTGGGGTTGGAAAGTTTCTCAATTGTCATTTATGAAAGACCAAGAGGCAAATCCTCTGGGTCTAGGTGACTAAGGGAAGGAGACCTCCCTCTCCATTCATTGTGCCCATGACAATTGACAGTTAATTATAAATTCCTATCAACTCCTCTATTTCTCTGCAGAAGCTTAACTCTTGTAGTTGTCTGTGAATCCTCACAGAGACAGAGGCATATAAAATTGATGATTATGAATGTTTAGGTAGTTTACTTTAATTGATAAAATTATACAAAAATTGATATAAACAATTTTTAATTAATTAAAAAAGAAATTAAAATTATTCAACTGGATGCTTTTAACGGATTTAAATTTAGTACAATTACTTAATTTTAAATGATTACAAATTGATAAATAACCTCAGTCTTACAGATGCCATTTTACAATGTCAGTCAAGCACACACATAATTTCCTTTCTTTCAAGGCATAAGTGGCAGCACGGCTAGGTAAAACAAACGCAGACAACTTCTATACCTAGATATCCTATCCTATATCCTATAACATCTATTCCTATAAATCCTATACCTATGCATTGAATCGAACAATTTCTGAAAATATTGTAGGACATTGTATTATAAACAACCTTAACATCAACTGCATGTAACTATAATCTCCATCACAGCAACAAATCTGTATTTTAATTTTTTTTAAAAACTTATTTTGATAAGAACTGATAACAATCTTTGTTGGTGTGAAAACATCAACGCAAAATACCTTGACTGCAAGCACAGGGTCAGAAGAATTACGCTCACGAGCAAATGAAAGACACAGCCCTTCCACATCAGATAAAGTTTTCACTTTTGCAACTGCTTCTGCTGGTTTCATCCCAAGCTTTATGCCTAGAACAATCTGAAGAACCATCCGGAGTCATTTTACTATGTTCAAATCATGAAGTGAATAATAAGTACCAAATTCTAAACCGTCAGCAGAAGAAGGAGAATGAAGATAATTAATACCTCAAGATTATGCTACAACTATCAATTTCTTAAATAAGATTTATTGATCACGTAGTAAAGAGCCAAAAAATCAGATAACTCAAATAAGAGGCAGTTAGTGTCCTATATATAAACACTAGATGAAAATACACCATGGTCAGAATAAAATAGAACTTACAGCAGCAAGTCGACATTCGACAACTCTGTTATTGTAATTTGTAGCAGCAGTGACGGCTTTCTGTGATTCGGCCAGAGAATGAGCTATAATAAAAGTCCCACCAGCAGGAAGTTGCACATCAGTAGCACGAATGGGATTGAAATCAATCAGCTCAGCAAACCCAGATTTGGCCATGACAGAAATTGCCTGCCAGAATAATAGGACACCGTTTACCATAATTGGCGAACATTTGAAGCTAGACAGAAGTTCTCATATTGCCCATCACATAGAATTGAAATGTAGCCATAAATCACTTTCTAAATAATTGAAGAAATAGAATTATGATCACCACTATTATTTCCATCAAGTGATTGTAGTCAAAATCTATCCATGGCCTTTGCGATGAAATAACATAAAACAAAATCCATCAATGGCTCAGGCTGTTAAGTGGGGAAAACTTTGGGCCTGCTCGGCTGCTTGTTCAGGTTGTAAAAAAGCTTTCCAAGTACTGCTTGTAAATTTGTAATATTAAGGTTATTATATAACTACTTCGAAACCCAAGATTTTCAAAAGAACAACTTCAATTATTCTCCTAAACAAATTATTCATGAATCATGAGTATACTTAGAAAAAGTAAGGAAAAAACAAGTTTTAGAAAAGAGTTGACCAAACATATTCTCTCTCTCTCTCTCTTTTTCTAGAGAATAGAAAATAGTTTTAACAACCCCTTTATTGCTCTGTTTCTTAATGTTAAGTCTATTGATTGCAAAGTAAAAAAAAAAAAAAAAAAGTTTTACCTGATCCATTCCACCAGATTGTGTACCAATGTGCCGTTCACATTCACACGTGAGTTGGGCAATTTCTTTCTGTAACCACAAGGGAATTATTGTTAGGTTAATTAGATTTAACATGACTAGAAATCAAATAATTGAGCTCAATTATTTGACGAGGTAACAACCAACTTCACCTAATTAAACCAAGTAAAATAACAGCATGTAACTGAACCTATGTAGCATTTGGTAAGTAGGAGGTGGAAAAATTATTGTTTATCTTAACCAAAAAAGGACAATGAATATGCAATCATATTCAGGCAATGAGCCCCAAAAGTCATCAATAATCCTCACTACAGTACCATAGATTTAAGTCATCTAAGTCATCGGGTCCAACAGATCACATTATAAGTTCATGTATTAATATCAAATGAATTCATGCAAGAATACATGTACATTCAAAACTCCAACCTTCCTTTCAAATGGAATAACTGTTGGTACCAATTAGTGCACAATGCAAGGTTCCGTAGGTCCAAAGTCCAATGACTAACAAGCAAGGTGCCTCCTTGCTATGTGGGCCAAGTCTGAGATACTAATAACAACCAATATTTGGGGAACATCAAGGCTTACTGGTAAAATGTGACTTGGGACACCACAGAACAATCCACAAACTCAACATATGTAAAATAATCAAGTCAAAATCCAAGTCAGTCGCAGACCAAGTAATGTTCAATTATCAGAGCATGAGGGAGAGCTGTTACACCTTGGGAAAGTTGGCACCAAAAGCAGCCATTATAGCAATGGTAGCAGAGCAAACAAACGCAGCAGAGCTTGATAATCCAGATCCTGAATGAAAAAAATAATTCTAGCATTACTTCATCATGTGATAAATTATTGCAGCAACAAAACATTTAGATGTCGACTTCAGTTGTTTTTGTTAAAAATTCTGAACATTTAAAGATAAAATAGAAAGCAAACTTCTATACTGTAACTAACAGCCTGTCATAGTTATCTTGTATGAAAAGATGTACAAAACAAAACCTGTAGGCACTGTTCCATCAACAAGGACATCAAGTCCAACTGGCACGCCAACATTTTGTCCTTTTGATTTAGCATATTCGTAATAGCCTTTGTACCTGAAACACAAAGACCCTTAGATTCTGAAGGGTAGGCAAATTGGTCAATGTTGATTAAGAAGTTAGTATGGCAAAATAATTTTAAAAAATAAAGGCAGATGTTCTTATAAAAAAAAAAAATTATAAAGGCAGATCATTTCAATTTTAACATTAAAATTAGATCATGCTAGTTTAGCTTAAAGTTCAGCACTGCCTTAAAAATATTGATTAGGATAAAAATGAAACGCAAAACATAATTTCTTGCATTCATACTATCTATAAACAAGCTGTATTCAGAATAATAAGTACGACCCGTTCAAATAATTATACAAAATAAAATCAGAACAGAAGTAGTTTGTCTACTCACCCGCAAAGAAAATAGTGTCCCCATTTGTGATTCTTCAAATCAACTTCCTGTAAAATGAACAAGAGTAATGATAAACACAGCAGAAGTTGTGAATATCTAGTAGTTGCAACTTGCAAGAACGATCACATTATAAATTTATGGGAGCATAAATATTTTATATGAACGATGTAAGGATCCAAGATTTCAGAAGAAAAGTAGGAGAAAAATCGTGACTGACTAGCAGAAATGAAGGACATCGTTTAGATTTCACAGAATTATTTGGTTCATACCTGATCAGGATCAGCAGGATAAGTACATAGCGAGTATTTATCGTTAACATTAGCAATTCTGAGAAGATGATTCGCCTCTCCGGCGTCGTGCTTCCTTATTGCCACGATCGTGTCTTGCCGGATCGCCATCGGCAACACCGAATATCCTTCATAGTCAATGTGCTCTCCGATCAAGTTCACTCTCCCTGCACTCCGTCGTTCAACCAAAACAGGAAATTACAACGAGAATCCACTCATAAATCAGTCAGAACATCATAATTCCTGGAAGTAAAAATACAAAAGTACAAACAGGACAGAGAAACCGAACGAAGATAGGAAGCAAAAAAGTACCTGGAGAACGAGCAAAGACATCGGGAGGGTGGCCAAACACTTGGAGAAACTTAGCCTTGAGATGATCAAACCGAAGCTGAGCTTCCTCAAGCTGAGATCCATCGCCATAAACCGGATTAAGAGAAGAGAAAACAGGAATCGGAAGATCCTCGTGCTTCGCCATTTCTCCTCTTCTTCCTCTTTACGTGTAGAAATTCACACAAATTCCCCCTCAAACACCACTGTAAATTCAATCCAAAAAACAAAAAGATCAAGAAAGATCTGCAAAATCCAAATTCAAAAACAAACAAAGATTCAAAGAAACTCGTGCAGCAGCGTTACCGATCTCGAATCCCGGCTAAATTATCGTATAAACAGAGCGAAGGCGAGACTGAGAATTGAGGTGAAAACGAAATATTCTATAAAGATTCAGAGCAAAAGCTCAGAAGAAGCCTCAGTATGATTTTTGTTTGGTTTCGAATGTTAAGATAATTAGTTATTTATTACATCTCTCTTATATTAAAATTTTATTTATTTGATTGTGACGACGCACGGGAGGGGCACGTGCATGTGCGGCCAAAAATGCCACGTCAGCTTATATTAAAAAAAGTGGGTTTTGATATTTTTGTGTAATAGGGAATCGAATTTTTATTTATATAAAAAGTCTGTACGATTAGGTCCAAAAATGCCCGCTTCGGAGAAAGCTCAGGAGGGCAATTTGGAAAACGAATCCACTTTTTCTTTTTCTTTTTCTTTTTCCTTTTCACGTTTTAATTTTAACGCTTTTTTTTTTTTAAATCCCAAACTTTTCAAAAATGTCTATAAATAAATTGGGCTTTTGACAAAAGGCCCAATTTTTGTGGGCCTTTGTATCGATCCAATCTTTTTTGAGAAAATTGAAAAGTGTGATTGTGCTGATGTCACCCTGGGGTAAAAATATTATTTTACTCTTAATAACTCTCATGTGATGAATATCCAAATTATTGCGTTTATTTTATAGAAATAAAATATAGGTAGGTATCTCAAGATGCCCAATCTATTTTGTTTTAGATTCTCTGTTTAAAAGTTAAAAAAGTCTTCTTATGATATATTTGTCTTCATTTTTCTTCGGTAAATATTTTATTTAATCGACTTTCTTCATCTTTTATTTTTATTTTGAAGGAAAAAATAAATTAATGTATCATTCATATAGTTATGGGTGAGATAAAATCATAATCTACGAATACACTCTATGAAAAAGTTCGATAAGTTGGCTTAGATTATCCAAATACTCTTGCGCTTAGAAATGATAAGGGAAAAAATGCCGATCCCTTGAGCATGAATCTAAATAGGAATCAATTTGTGAGCTAAGCTCCAGTCATGCATTCAAATTCCAACTTAAATCACCTCTTCTAAGAGCAAGATTCAAATTTAGTATAAATTAATCTGTGAACCAGAGATTAAAAGCATTAAGCAAATAAATGCACAAATTCAAATCAATCGAGACAGTTATGATTCATGATTTCTTAACTTATAGATTAATTGCATATTCAATCTTGACATGTTTAATTTGTCTGCTCGTAGGTTTAGGTTATGAAATCACTCCCCTAGGACCCGTTGTCCATAAAAATTTTCCTTAGAGTCTTTTATTTGCTTTGTTATTTGATTTCTGTGTTTCAAAAGAGATCCCTTGTTGTTTCTATAGATAAAATTGGACAATAATATCTTGAGTGACTAGAAATCCAATCCAGTAGACGATATCGATAATTACTTATCATTTTTATTAAAACTCTGAGTCGTACACTTGCGGTAAGCATTTTCTGCTAGAAGTATTTGAGTCAGGGGTCCAAGCTCCCCATGAGCCCAAGGAGCCCATAGTCGAGCACTCCTTGGGCCCAATAGCAAGCCCTATGGACTAATTCGCTTCTATCAAGCGGAAGCCCTCCAATTGAAGTTCGTGAGATTTCAAAAATTCAATATAACACAAATCTAGATCATAGAAGTGTGCTGGGCTAGGTCTTAAAGATCTTATTACATGCAAAAAATAATCTCAGCTCTCAATTTAGCTCTTAAAAGATCTTTAACATCTGCATTACTTTTCTTATCATGAAGCTCTCCTATGAGATATACAAGCTCTCTCTCTCTTTCTTTGTTTTTTTTTTTATCGATTTCATATCTACGTCGTTGCTACTTCTTTTGCCATTAAAGATATACTTGTGCTCTCTCGCGTGTGACAACGTATCCTTAGTGCTCTAAACATAGTCAAAAGTTTAAAATTCTTCCATGGACGTTCTACCAAGTACATCAAACGTTATTACCATTTTGTCCATGAAAACGTCTTTAATGGTCAACTTTTCACACTCCCATATCAACCATGTCAAACTTAATCATAGAGTACATTCTCACAAATACCCCTTACTTGATTTTGTTTATCCATAATTTTTGTACCAAACTTAGATGCTCAGAAGATGCAAATGATCAAATCATAAACCTTCTATACATCTAAAAGTACAACACATATTTATGTGATGGCCTTGAAATTTAGAGTCACCATACCAAGCCATAGATAATTAATTAATTAATTAAACAAAATTTGGAATTTCATGGAAGTCTGAAACCTTTTGGTGTAAAATCTTTCTTGTCTCTTTGATTTTTCAAGTCAAGTTCCCAAAAAGTCCCCATCAGTGGAGATTAGCTATGATGAAGTTGGCATCTATTATCGTGATAAAATTCTTGCCCTTTTAATTTTCTTTTAGGAAAAAAGTGATCTGAAATGGCTCAAACTAGAAGCAAGAGTCAATTAAATAAATAAATAATATATATTTATAAAACTTTCAAGATTTCTTGAAATGGGGAACAAGGCTGCTGCGCTGCATGCAACATGCTGCAAAATATTCCTCCCCAAACTCTCTCCTCTCTTCATAGGTTGATCTCATTACTAAATATGCATAAAAGATTAAAAGGTAAATATATGTTTCAGGGTTAATTTAATTTAATCTCTCCATTTAAAAGGTTTCAATTTAATCTTTAAGTTTTTTTTTAATTATATCTTTAATGGTTGATAAATTCACATTATTGTATAGGATACTTATGAAGTAGGAGGACTGAATTCTAGATTACAAAGTAGGCCATTTAAGAAAGAAAATTTTCTACTTAGCTTCTTCAAATTTCTAAGAAATTCAGTAAGTCTAATTCATTTTCTAAACTTATGTTAATGTTAAAATGGAAAAGATTATATTTAAACTTTTTAAACAATAAGAACTTTTTTTTGTGTACAATATGTGAGGTGAGGATAAACTCACGAACTCTTGCTTGGAAACATATGTCAATTACCACTGAGCTATGTGCACTTTGACAAATAATAAGAACTAAATTTTAAAATACTTAAATATCTAGTGATGATTTAATAATGGGTATCAAATTTGAAGGTCGACCTAAGTTCCAAAATTCGGTATTGACATTAATTTAACTCTACATTTTCATATAATAGTTCCACTCGTTGGGTCGTCATTTCCTCCCCACTTCATATATAATAGTCTATTTTTCCAATTAACCAGAAAGAAAAACCCTAACCCTAGTTGTAAGAGATGAATAATACGAAGGCAACTGAATTATATGATATCCCATAATATATAATAAACAACTTAATTTGTTTTTGCTAAGAGATAGTTACAAAGAATAATAACTCATTAACAAAAAGCACAGCTAATATAATCCCTCTGAAAAACGCTTAAGAAGAAAGCGTTTTTATAATCATGAGATCAGAATCTCCTCAGAAAACGATGAAAAATGCATGGCTGATCTGAATTCTGAACGTACCGAAAAGAGACCAATGGGGAGAGAATAAAATCTCTCTGAATAGAATTCACCCATTTTGCTCATCTTTTGGCTCCTTCCTCATTTGCAATGGCACCACGTCCTGCAGAAGCCCGTCGTCCCGGAGCAGCGACGACGGGGACGGAAGGGGAGGAGGAGGATGCGGACTCACCGATGATGAGTTCACCGTTACAAATGGCGTCGGGTTGTACATGAAGGGCTGGTGGAACAAATGCCCCGTGGCGGTGGTGGCGGTGGGGTTGTGATCGGCGACGAGGCAACTGTTGGATTCCGACATGACTCGCCGCGGCATTACCGGACTTTGGTGGGTGTGTTGGCCTTCGTACGTTGTCACAACGATGGAGTGGTCGCCGGAGGACCGCTCCACTCTCTTCTTCACACCGCACCCCGCCGTGGTGCAACGATAATAGCTTCTGCTTTAACAAGAAAAACATCTTCATTGGTATATAGAACTTTTACTTCAAATAAAAAACTCGTAGTGAAGAAAAAGACCTGGGATAGGGGCTATTTTTAACGGCTTTTTGGCCGTACTTCCGCCAGCGGTAGCCGTCGTCTAGATGATCGATATCACTCTTAGTCATGAAAGCAAATCTGGGTTCTCTTTGCCTCTTCTGGTTCTTCTTTTTTGCCTTCAACCTAAAAACCACAACCAAAAAAATAAAAACAAAAGAACCACACCCCATAAATAAAAAAAACAAAAAAAAAACCAGTTTTTTCCATTTCTTTTTTTCCAAAAAGAGAACGAAAAAAAAGGGAAAAAAAAAGAATAAACAAGCTTCAAATTACAACCTTAAATCAAATCAAAACTTAAAGTTCAATGAATAAAGCCGCTGTTAATTAAAATTTTTAAAATAGAAGATTCGATCTCTTACACAGTTGTTGAATCAAAATTCAATTAATCCATTTCTTCACTGAACTAGCTCAGTCTTAAAAAACAACATATTATATTTAAAGCGGAAAAAAGAGAAAATAAACACTAAATTCAAAGGGAAGAATTAGCTTACAATAATTTAGAAGCTTTTTCACTATTATTCTTCTCAACAGCCTCTTCACTTGCTTTGGCAAGTTCTTCGCCGGAGGAGGAAGAGACGGAGGAAGAATTAGGCGTGGGCGGGGCGTTGAGCACCTCCGACGACTCCGGCACGGTGGATGCCGGCGAGGAGAGCGGCGGCGACTGCTGCAGCAGCGGCGGCACGGAGGACATCAAATCGAACAAAGAGGGGTTGTAATAGTCATGGATTCCAAATAACAAGTCAAAGGAACAACCTTTATCACTACTCTCACATGACATGTCGAAGATGCCGCCGCCGCCCGGAAACTCGTCGGAAAACACCATCGGAGAATCACTTACGGCGCAATTCTCCGACCCCACGAACTCTTCAAATTTCTTCTTCTCCATACCGATCGGAAAGTTCAATTAATTACCACATATTCTTTTTTCCTTTTTTTTTTKYGYSTYYTC